AGAATTTTCTCTTCAGCCTCTGAACCTCTTTTGTGATACTACGTATGTCTGTGGAAGAAATATTTTTATCATTTTAAATTTTTTCACTGCTTAACTATAATAATTTAGATTGACTTCCAATCTATCTTTTAAGGGAAAATTTTAAAAAGCTAACTGAATAGCTTATATGACTTCTTGTTTGGAAACATCAGGCACGAAACAATGGAATTTTGTATTGTGATTACTTAGGAAGGGATTTGTAAATTGGTTGTACTAATTCACAAATTATTTTCTGTGTTAACAATGTCAGTACTTTTTGAGGAGTACTTGCATTTGAGATGTGAATGTTGGAAATGGAACTTGTGCTTGCTTTTACCTATAAGTCAATTAAATATGAAAAATTAATACTACTTCATAAAGCATAGGAAGCTTCAGTCCTCAAAATGTTCTAATCTGTAAGATTTTTTTTACAGTATTGTAATTGTTTCTTACTAGGAAGCATAATGCAAATGATTTTTATAAGACATTTCCATTTCTTTGTGGTTTTTTTTTAGTAGAAGGTTTCAAACAAATCAGAATGAAAGCTTGATGGCCACTAAGAAAGTTTTGAGTCTGTAATTCATTCTTTTTACCCTGTAATTTTCCATATTTGTTTTTCTTTTTGTACAACAGCAGGCAGTTAGTACTCAGGTTAGTACACTGGTAATACTTGAATCTCAGGCATCAGAGATGCTTCCATGCAAACTGCATGCAAAACCTTTCTGTCTTGGGTTACTTCCCAAGCTAGAACACTTGAAGCAGGTAGAATTTATTACTATAATATGACTGTACATTATCAATCACAGATAAGTTATTTTGTCTTGTGAATTTTGGAAAATCTCAGTTAAAATTTTTGTCATAGCAATGTGCTCTGTGAGAGAGATGATGAGACAGCATTTTTAAAATAATTTACTTGCACTGTTAACAAATTGTTCGTTTTGTTGTGTGTTCTGATCACAAGAGTTATATCTAGGGAAATACTTGTAGCCCTTTTCTGGGAAGTGATGTTTTCTGTCCACTATTTTAAGATAGTATATTTTGGTTGGATTATAGAGGACAATTGAGGTGAGCTCCAGAAGAATGCTAGAAAAAAATAGAAAAGAAAAAGGACCATTTTTTGCAAGACTGGTGCAAAAATGAAAACTTCTAGAAGTATTTCTTGTCTGCTACATGTGTGCTTTTTTGGCCAGGTAAATAAATACCTTGGATTAGTAGGTACAGCTTTGCCTTTTCTACTTGAAGTCCCTGAAGATAGAAATATGAAATGTGAATCCTGCTTTTAAATTGACCATTCTGTGGTGTTCAAGGAAGTTGATGGTATCACTCTGTGCGTGGTTAGTTCTCACTGATCTAATTTTAAAAGAACTACTTCAGTGGCTTGGTTTCCTTCTTGCTCCGAGTAGCAATGGAGAGTCTTGCCTGAGAGGCACTCTTGTTTATTCATATTCTGACTGATCTGATTGACTACAACAAAAGAAGCAAAACTGAAGTTATTGCTTGCCAGTCCATGGGGCAGCTGCAGCTCAAATGTTCAGGTCAGTGATTAAATGTTTTCTTCTCTGTAATATGAAGTTTGGATGTTGAATTACTGTATTCTGAGATTGGCTAATATTGGCAAACAAAGCTTGCTTTTCTTCCCTGTTGCCTACTCAAACACTATATTGTTGCAGGATTCATGGCAATCATCTGCTCTAGAAAATTCATCCATTCACTTGATGATTTCCCAGTATGCTTACAGGGAAAACATCTTTATGAAGTTTCCAGTAGGTCTGGCACAATGCTCAGAGTATTCTAACTACAAAATTATTGTCTGTACAACTGCATCTGTGTGTATGTTTGAGTTTCTGGCATGCTATGAACATGGAAGATCAGAAAGGGTTGTTCATCTCTGTAGTTCTCTTGGTACTAAATTGTAACATGCTCTAGAATTCTGATGCTTACAGAGGCAAGTAATTGGATGTGGCATGTACTTATGTCTGCATTAAAATGACACAAGTGTTCTCAAATATAAACTAACATTTCATGTATGATGTAGATACCACAGACAGCATGCTACTGTTGTTCTCTCTGTCACTGAAGTATTGTAGGTTGAAGGCAACTGATAAGAGCTCACACAAGGCATTTGTTAAGAGCTGTCATTTAATTGTCTGACTGACTCAAACTCCAGTAACCTTAAAATGGATATCTCAGTTTTAATGTGCTTCTATGAAAATATTTTTATGGGTGTTTTTCCTGCTCTCATTTATATGTTTCAGAAGGAATTTTCTGGAAATACAATAACTTGCTAACCTATTTACTGTTTGACTCCTTTTTCTAAACAGGAAAAGGTAAACAATATGTGGAGTACTATCAAAACATGAGAATTATTTTTATCATATAATTTCCATCTGTAATAGTGGTTTTAGGTGCTACTTTTGACTCCAGAGGCATAATTGTCTCATCTCTGTAACATCAAAAAGTACCTAAGAAACTCTATCCGTGCCTTAGTCACCAAAAATAGCTTCTGCAGCCATCCGTGCAAGTGGTACCCGCATCAAGTTATAAGTTTGGAGAAATAGTTCTGCAAAATTCCTGTCAGAGATTTGGCTTTTAAATTGTTTGGATTACCGCTCATAACTCTAAAAGTCATTGGAAACCCTTTATTTGTTACAGAGAACATTTATTAAGAACATGGGTACATCTGGATGACTGGAACATCAAGACTCTTTGGTCTTTCACACCAAGAAATTCTTGTCCTTTGAGTGTGAAGATTTTATTAACATGTTCCCATTCATACTGTAGTTATGGAGTTTCCCTTAAGATTTCGCTTAACAGAAGTTAAACTAGGAGAAAGAGATGTTCCTTCTTTCAATCAAATGATACACATATGTAAGTTATATAATATAATGTGAGGGTGCAATTCTGGTTGGAATAATAATCTTTCGCTTTAAAAGTGTAACCAAGTATTTACTCACTGAAAACACGTCAGTAACTTCTATGTTTCTATAAGAGCATAGGGAACTTGTTTAGCTTAGTAGGAAGCACTGGTGAGGTTTTTCTTCTTCTGTTAAACCTTGGAGAGCTTTCCCATTTTTCTTACCACATTCAGCTAACCTGTTCTGACTTGCTTTAGAAACTTGGGCCAGACTTGAAAAGATGTCAGCTAGAGTAATTTAAAAGGTGAGCTTACCTTGTCAGGCCTTGTAGGAAGTTGCATTCTTATTCTTTGCCCCAAATGTAACTCATTCATTTTTCTTGCTTCAGTGCTTTTTGATCCTTTCATAAAGGAGATTGTAGTGCTTGTATTATTTTTGTTGGAAAAAGAAGGAAATAGAATCTGTACTATTGTATATACCTGCAATAGACTTAAAATGCAAATCATTCTGTGATCTTTCTTCTAATGCATGAAGTTACTTGCATTTTACTTAGTCAGATGGCCAAAACACTGCCAGCAGTATATCTGGAATATAATTTACTTGGTCCATTTGGTCTTCTTTGTAGCATTGTATGCATGCCACAGTTAGGGGTCATTTACTTAAAATTGGCCTGAGTAATACCCCCAGAGCTGCAGCAATTCTTCTCAGTAGTACTTCTGTAACAGAAGGCTTATCACGTTCTGCATCTTCTGTGCTCTTACTTTTTCCTCTCTCTTCCTCCTTCACTTCTTATAATCATAATTGCTTTTGCAATTTTTGCAAATCTTTTTGCAAAGATTTGTAGAGCTGTAGTTTTATCTTTGTTTCTGTGGCTCGATTCCTCTATTGATGCTTTAATAATTACATGATTTTTTTTACAATACCAAATGATTGAAATGTGCTGCATGAGGATATTGATTATTATTATTATTTTATTATCATTTTTACAAGGTTGTTATTGGGTATGATTTTTTGTTTATGCGTGTATCATGTTTTATGTTCTCAGTTCCAGACACTGTGAACTGGTTACAGGAAAACTGGGGGTGTTTTGACATTTCCAGCAGAAGGTTAGGGTGGGCGGGGGAAGCACTACTGAATGCTGACTCTTATAATAATATCTGACTCTTAAGGCCATGTGCTGTCCATCCATGCTCAAAAGGCTAAACTTAAAGATCTGTAGCCTCGAAGGTATTACCGTTGTGCTTCATTTCCTTTCTAACAGAAAACAGTTGAAATGTAGATTATGGATGCCTAGGGTTAGTGCAGGAATAGTCTGCAGGTGGTGGTTTATAACATCTGTAAGCATAACAGAAATTGCCTTACAGCAGAACATGAAATGGGAACTGCAGAAACTTGCATTTCAGTATAAGCTTTTTCCATGGCAGAATAAATGTGGATAGCAGGTATTTCTTTCTCCAGCTTTTTCTTTTATTACTTGAGTACAAAATAGAGTAGATACAGATTGTGTTATTTTCTCCTATTGTGAAAAGCAGATGTTTAGTGCGCATCTCAGCCTTTGTTTCACTGTTGTTCTTGTAGCAAAGGGTGTTCTTCTTCCTTTGTGTTTGCACAAATTATCAACTCTTATTGTCAGATGGCATCTTTTTAGCTTGTTTTAGGTAGTAAAAATCACAGTGCTTTCTGTGGGTCTTCTTTGTTTGCACAGTGATTTGTTTTATTTATAAAATGTTTATTCTTTCTTTACATCCAGCTTTGATCATTTAACTGATAAATACCTGCTGCATCTGATCATCTTTTGTCCTGGCTTACATATAAATGCTTCTGTTGAAATAAATCAGTCTTGTAATTTGAGAAATATAAAAGTTTGGTTTAGGTTACTTCTTACAGGTAATTGCTGTTTGACGGTTGAATACAAAACAACTGCTTGGCAGAATTTTAGTTTGATTCTCTGCCAAGCAATGATAAAGTACAACCTAATTCCTAAAAGCGCCTGAGTTTATCATGACCTAGCATGCATATAGTAATAACAGGATGACAAGGCTAATAAAGCCTACACATTATTATGGCCATGCAGTGGATGTTACAACAGGCTTATAATGTATTTTGTCCTTCATTTCCCTTGTGCAGCCCACACATCATCTTCTTGTCACAGAGTGTATTGCCTGGAGGGAGCCATCTCTGTGGAACACGTCTGTGCCATGAAATTGCTCACTCTTGGTTTGGATTGGCCATTGGTGCTCGTGATTGGACTGAAGAGTGGATAAGTGAAGGGTTTGCCACTTTTTTAGAAGATGTATTTTGGGCTAGGGCTCAACAGGTAAGTTTGATGTACTAGTTCTCAATTTAATCATGATGCACTAGTTCTCAATCATGCGGGAATGAAAGCTATATAGGAGTGCTGCTCTGAAAGTAATGCCTCCTATTTTATTTTCTTAGCCTGTGATGTTGGAGTTGGATGTTGATGCTATGGCAGTAGAGTTGAATTTTCCCAACAGTATTTTGTTCCATTTTGTTGCCATGTGACGGATGGCAGCAGAGGGACAGTCTGAAAAAAAGGTGTCTGACATGGAAATGCATGTGAAGCAAGGGTGTGTCACTGAATTCCTCCGTGTTGAAAAAAAATGACACCCTCAGATATTCATTAATGCCTGACAAATGTTTCTGGAGTCCAAACAGTGGATATGAGCAGAGTGACGTGGTGGGTGGTACGTTTCAGCTATGTGACAGTGGATGACCCCTGCTGGTGCAGATATTTATGAGCATAACATTCAGGCTCTTGTTCATCGCTGGTTAAAATACAGAGCTGATGGTGGTGCCTCTGTTGAACAATAGTATTTTATTGCTGAAAATTTGTTCTACTAGATAGTGTTATTGTGGTCTTTGTATCTCTTGTAGTTTCCATGGAAATAAATAGGAGGCACTAGTTTTGGAGCAACTTTGTTGTGAATTAAGTATTCATAAAACCTTCTGTGTTATGAGGCTAAGTCTTTTAAAATAATACCAGAATTTGCAGGCTAACTTGATTTAAAAAGAAAAAAAAAGAAAAAAAAAATCTTTCCTTCCCTACCCATAATCAACTCTAATCTTTACAGAGGTAAAGATCAGTGCAAATAAGAATGGAAACATCTACTTAAGTATTACCATTCGGTTATCAAACAGCTGCTATGCATTCTCTCCGTTTGTGCCATGCTCCTGAAAATGGAATAATCAGAAATGTCTTACTGAATATTGCAGGTTCTTAATGAAATTGACTTGGGTTTTTTTTTTTTTGTGGCAGCAAGCCTCAGAACAAAATGGAAGCTGATGAAATAGAGTGCTAGCAGTTAAAACTTTTTTTCTCTTACATTGCCTAGTTAAGAGTTAACATCTTGTCAGAAGCTTAGAAATCATTGCCTGTCTTAAACTGAAAAGCTCATGTATTGCATGTCAGCTAGTAAAGTGATTTTCTGATCCAATTCTTATTTTTGTCCTACTTCAAGCGTTTCGTGTGTTCATCATCTGTTCTTGTGCTTGTGTCAGTTAGGCTCTGATTCTGCCATTAAAATTCTCAGAACTCCATCTGTGGGAGGGAAGGTGAGAATGGGGTCTGACATCACAAGATCTTCTGTGCCTCCATTTTATTAAGTATCAGTTGTGTTCATAGTTCTAAAGAAATTATAGTTCCTTGACATTTAAAATGCTTCTGGAGTGAGAAAGAGGGGAAGGCTATCCCAACACTTTGCTTTTCCCTTCTGCTCTTAAAGTTCATGTTTGCATTTGGGCATCACTCTCCTATGGTGAGCTGCTCTCTTTAAGTCTGCACTTACCTTAGTTGTTTGAAAGCTCTTCGGTTGTAGTAGTCACCTTTCCATGTAGCTGCTGGAAAGCAATGAGCAACAAAACAGGATGTTTATTCCCTTGTTAATTTACACAGTCAGAAAATCTATCTTTGCTTTTATTATTACTTTTTTTTTTTAACTGAGTAATTTTGGTTCTGTGTGATACTATAATTGTAAGACTGTGTGTGTATTCCATACAGTGTAACAGTAATTTCAGTTGTGACTGAAATACTGATGTAATGCACAAGGGTATTAGCTGCTTTTACCTTCTCTCATCTCATCTTTTTTTATAACAAAAAAACATAAATTAGTTATTGATGTGTATGCTGACAACCTAACATTTATTTCATAAGCTTGTATCTCTTAATAGTATTTAATATGGAAAATTACAAGGGAACTTTCTCCACAATGACAGACATGGTAGGGAAGAGGGATAAAGTGAGGACATGGAAGAGCTCTTTGCTTTCAAGACTGAGAAAAGTGAAGGTGCAACCAGAACCAGTATGTGAAGTATCTGTACTGTGTGTTCAGTTATCTTATAGCCAGTCACTAAAGGGAAAACACCAAGTATTGATCTGATGCACCAGCGAGACTTCTGTTCTGCTATTAACTCTTAGACAAAGGAGTATAATTGTTGTGGGTTTTTTTGTTTTTTGTTTTTTAATGTGTGTTTGCACTGTATCTTTCATGGCTTGCATATTAAAGGAAAACAAAATCAGTTACTCTCTGGAAAATTTTGTTGTCTGTTAGAAAACACTGATTGATATTTTTTTTCACTAAGCAGCTTTCGCATGATGAAGAAAAAGAGCAGCAGGAATTGAAAGCTTTACTTCGCTGGCGACGACTCAGAGATGAGGTGCAGAACTCTGAAGAAGAGCTGCAAGTTTTAAGGTAAAGCTGTGATGGTGTAATATTTGCTTTTTCATATTCTTTTCTCCCTTTCTTCCTCCCTCCCTTCCTCCCTGCTATTTTCTACTGTTTACTCCTTTCAAAGGATATGCATGTGATTAAATGCACTACACTTCCTTATTTCCTTCTAAAAAAAAAACCAAAAGTCCACTTAAATTGACTCGGTTATTCATCTTGTCTATAAAACAATTACTTTTCAGTCTATTACAGAAGGCTTTCCAAAAACATGGGATTTAGATTGGTATAAAATGTCTCTAAGCAGTTTACAAGAATTTCCCTCTATCTGGGGTATGGGGGGGGGCGGGAACATTTCCTGAACAAAGTTCACGTTTGAAGATGCAACAGATATATTTTCTATGGCTGAAGACAGGCACATGCAGGACTATGGCATGTAACTGCCAAATCTGAATAAAATGATATGACTAAGATGTGTATGTGTTGTAAATTTTAAAAATTGTTCTTCTGAGGGCCAGTTTGAAACTCTTTAACTCTTTAAATTTACTTACAGTTTGAAACTCTTTATCTTGTAGCTAGCAGGACAGGGAAAGTGATTGTCCCCCACTGCATTGAACTACTGTGTCCAGGTCAGGGGCTTCCCGCACAGGAAAGTTGTGGAGCTTTTGGAGGAGGCCACAAAAGTATTCAAAAGACTGGAGCATTGTCCCTATGTAAAAGGTTGAGGGAGCTGTGCTTGTTCAGCCTGAAAAAGAGCAGGTTCCAGGAGACCTCATTGTAGCCTTCCAATGCATTACAAGGGTTCTTTATTAAAGAGGGTCTCTTTATCAGAGTGTATAGTGACTGGACAAGAGGTAATGTCTTTAGATTAGGTTTATATTAGGTATGAGGTAGAAATTCTTTATGACAGGGATGATGAGGCACTGGAACACAGCTCAGAAAAGCTGTGGATGCCCCATCCCTGGTGGCATTCAAGAGCAGGTTGCATGGGGCCCTGGGCAACCTAATATGGTGGGTGGCAGCCTTGCCCATGGCAAGTGGGCTTCATTACATGACCTTTCGGATTCTTTCCAGCCCAAGCCATTCTGTGAGTCTATGATCTTGAAACTGATACTTAAGTTTTCTACTGGTTTACGTGGTAGACATGAGTGTCTGTAATAAACTACTTGCATTTCATGTAGTAAAATTCTCAGTGCTAATACAAAAGGATGAGAATCATTTCTTGTTTGAAAAATATGCCTCTACTATGCACTTCTGGAGACAGTTATGATGCCAGTTTGGGATTCTGACAGTTTCTGTCTCTCTGTTTACTCCATTTTCCTGTAGTTGCATTTAAGGACTTTATACAGCTCTCAGTCAGATATAAATAATTTTTACAATTTTTTATTTTTATGAACATTTGTCATTCTACTGGGACTTGAAAAATGTTCTCTTTTATATTCCTGAAAGTATGTCTATGTTCTATTGTTGATATTTAAGAGAAAATTTCATATCTTTGACTTGCACTGAGTTTTAAGTCCCTATTGATTTCTGCTGGTTCAGGCTCGTGTTTTTATGTAAGGATATTAAAAATAAATGGTGACTGTCCTTTCTTGCTGATTATGTCAGGAAGACAGAAATCATCTAGCCTGCTTTCTGAACATAACCTTTTTCACGTGTGTTTTTGTTCTCCGCTGGACAATTACACAATTTTCTATGTTTTCAGCAGACAGCAGGAAAAACCTGTGTGAAATTTGACAGTTGATCCTATTCACTTTCATTCTAGGAAATGAATACCTCTTCAGATGTAATCATTAGCATTATGTTTCTTCTTATTATGGATATTTTTTATTATGTTACAGTAGCTTCTTGGATGCTACCTGCAAAAAACAAAGGTAGGTGTGAAAGAAGTAGATAAGTCTTTTCAGCAGGCAGGAACTCTGAAAAGCAGCACCAACAAATCTAAATATTAAAGAAGGGATTTATGCAAATTAAATATATTACTCATATATGATATGATAACAGACCAAACTGTATTTTCTCAGAGTTTGAAGCAAGCCTGAAGGGGTAAAAGCAAAATCTGAGTGTCCTGACACTCATTCTGCTGGCCAGCATCAGTGCCTGCTCTGTTATCCACTTCCTCATAGTATGAAAATAAAGACTAGAGATGTCTTTTTCATTCAGTGGCAACAAAAAATGGTGCTGAGATTGTTTCTTGTCCTGGTCCTTATGACTGAACTTCAGCTTGAGATTGTTCAAGAAGACAAACCAGTTTTGACATCTATGTCGGAGTGTTTTTCTGAGTTCTACTTGAGTCAAATCAGCGATCTTACCCGTTTCACTCCTGAAACATAGATCTGTGCCTGCTCTGTAGGTATTTAAAGAGTTTATTCCATCATTCTGTGAGGAAATGTGCCCTTCACTATTCTCTCATAGTCTCTGAGTAGCTTTTCATTACCACCTCAAGCCATTTTATTACCACGGATTTCCTAGGGATTGGTATTTTTACTTTATCCTCACTAACAAAAGCAGCGTATTTTGCTTCCTGCAGAAATGTGGCAGTAGCAAAAATCTGTCAGGTAGTAGCTTAAATACCTTGATTCATCTTGCCTTTATTGTTATGCCTAGCTAAATCTGCTAGACTAGATGTCAGGTTCTGTAGGTCAGTGTAACAAACTTTCAGTCTCTGTACTGTGCTGTAAATACACTAACCACTGCTTTACATAGGTGTACTGAAGTACTGACAGCATAAAACAGTAACTTTTTGAATATTTACACGCTGTTGCAGACATTGCCTAGGTATTGCCAATGGTTACACTGTCTTTTAAGAATGGAAGTCATCATAAAATAAGATGTCCTTAATTCATCTTCATCTTTCAACACTGAAGGAAGATCTCCCCTGAAAGGAAATCAGAAAATAACAGAATTAGAGAATTATAGGGGCTGTAGGGACCTCTAGAGATCGAGTCCAATGCCCCTTCCAAAGCAGGCTCCCTAGACCAGATTGCACAGGTAGGCATCCAGGTGGGTCTTGAACATCTCCAGAGGAGGAGACTCCACAATTACTCTGGGCAATCTGGTCTAGATATTTATAGGCATTATCAGATCCCCTCTAATTCTTCTTTTCTCAAGACTGAACAGACCCAGGTCTCTCAGCCTTTCCTCATAAGAGATGTGCTCCAGGTCCTTTATCATCTCTGTGGCCGTCCACTGGACTCTTGCCAGAATCCCTGTCTTTTTTGTACTGGGAAGCCCAGACTGGACACAGTACTCCAGGTGAGGACTCAACAGAGGGAGAGGATCACCTCTCTTGACCTGCTGGCCACACTCTTTCTAATGCACGCCAGGATGCCATTCGTCCTCTTGGCCACCAGGGTACACTGCTGGCTCATGGCCAACCTGCTGTCCACCAGGACCTTCAGGTCTCTGCACAGAGCTCCTCTCCAGCAGGTCATCCCCAGCCTGTACTGGTGCATGCGGTTACTTGTCCCTAGGTGCAGGACTCTACACATGCTCTTGTTATACCTCACCTGGTTCCCCATGCCCAGCTTTCCAGCCTGTCCAGTTCTCACTGAATGCCAGCACAGCCTTCTGGTGTGTCAGCCATTCTTCCCAGCTTTGTATCATCAGCAAACTTGCTGAGGGTGGACACTGTGTCCTCATAAAGGTCATTGATGAAGATGTTGAACAAGACCAGAGCCAGCACTGACCCTGCGGAACACCACTAGATACAAGCCTGGAGCTGGACTCAACACCACCAATCACAACCCTCTGAGCTTGGCCTGTCAGCCAATCCTCCACCCACCTCATCATCGACTCATCTATCCCACACTTACTCAGCTTCATTATCAGGATACTGTGGGAGACAGTATCAAATGCCTTATTGAAATCAAGTCAGACTATATCCACTGCTCTCCCCCCATCCAGTGTTGAAATCGTAGAAGACCACCAGGTTGGTTGAGCATGACCTTCCCCGGATGAACCCATGCAGACTACTTCTGATAACCTTCTTCTCTTCCATTTGCTTGGAGATGGCATCTAGAACAAGCTGTTCCACCACGTTTCCAGGGACAGAGGTGAGATGGACTGGCCTGTAGTTTCCCGGATCCTCCTTCTTACCCCTTTTGAAGAACAGAGTGACACTGGCTATCCTCCAGTATCTTTAAAATACCTTTCAAGTACCTTTCCCATTCTCCAGGACCTCACAAAGATGATAGAGAGCAGTTTGGCAGTTACCTTTGCAAACGTGGATGCATCCCAATGGGGCCCATGAATTTATGTACACTGATGCTGCCTAGACCCTCTCAGACCATCTCCTCACCAAGGTGAAGCCTTCCATTCCTCGGACTCTCTCACTTACTGCCAGTGTCCAGGATTTCCAAGTGGAAGTGTTTGCTGTGAAGTCTTTGCAAAGAAGGTGTTCAGTATCTCTGCCTTCTCAGAATCTCCCATTACCAGAACACCCTTCTCATTTAGTAGGGGACTCACATTTTCCCTAGTCTTTCTTTTACTGCTGACATACTTAAAAAAAGCCTTTCTATCCCTTATCTCCTTTGCCATATATAAATACTTCATGGTAAAGGACTATGTGTAAGAAATAACATAAAATTTAAACAGCATTTTCTTTTTCTATTTTAAACAGTTACCTTTTGTCTGAGATTTTAATGTGTATAATGAATTTGATGTGTTCAGGTTATAAACCTAGCACTTGAGGAAAAAATGGCTTAACACTCTTGGCAAAATTGTAATAAGAAAGTACTACATGGACAAAAAAAGAAAAAAAGAATATTTTTCTCAGAGCAGATATGGATCTGAAAAAAGTTTGACTACTGGGACTAGCTTATGAGAAGTGAGGGAGGGGATGTGGTTTGAAGAAGTCTGCACTCTCTGGCCTGTGTTGCTCTTATTCTCTTGAACTGGGGAAAGTATGTCTGGTTTCTGAGGCTAGCCATTCAAAATCCACCAGGAGACTTAAAGAGATTGGTTCAGTAACAGGGATAGGCTGTTAAGACAAACATCTCTTCTCAGACCACTTCTTGGTGGGATATTTTTGGAATGGAAAAAGAAATGTTTTCATAGCTTCTCTTTAGATTCAGTTTGTGCTTGTAAGAGCCTAGAAACCCTTCAGACTTCACCGTAAATTTCATGCCAGAAAAAAAATCACACCAGATCCTATCTATGTTTTAAAATCAGGTAGTGAAGCAGTTTATTCTGTGTTTGTCTGAAAACCATGTAATGCTATAATCAGATGATAATAGCAAGGGTGGCAAAGTCCTTGGCTACAGCAAATGAGCTCAAATGCAGCAGGCAGAGATACAGAAATGAAGGAGAAGAGCTGCTTACCCTTGAAAGGCCTCAGGTAGGCAGAGATCTCTGGCAAGAGATGTCTTCATCTCCATTGCCAACTTTTAAATGACTTCTGAGAAGAAGTGGATCCTGACTTCATCCCTTCCAGTCACACTGCTTGCACCTGAGCTCCCCTGGGTTGGCCCTGCCTTCCCACCAGGTGCTCGGGCATTGTTTCAGTTCATGACTTAGCATTTCCATTACACAACACAAATGTGCATATGGGTTAAAGAGTTAGTGCTCCAGTTCTGTGGATTGTCAATAGTTCTGGTACCTGATTCTCAGAAAAGAAGAACTGCATCTCCCAGAGGACTTTCACTGGTCCATTTCCATTTTCCCTTTAGAGGGAAAGATAAAACTGCTCAGAAGACATGAGATTACCTTTTCCTTTTACTGCTTGTCTCTGCTGTGTGTGCTTCCCAGCCACATTACCTTCAGCAGTAGACTAAAGCCTTTGGTTTTGGACACTCTCTCCCATTTTAATCAATTTATTAGCTTCAATTCCAATTATATTGTATTATAATGTGTTATCTCACATTCTGCTATTATATTTAGTACATTAATTTCCTCCCTTATCTCACTGCTGTTGTTTTGTTTTTAGGTCCATCTCCCTTCTCTTTCTCCTTCTTCCCCCTTCTCCCTCTCCCAGAGTGTGAATTCGTGGGTCCCTCTGCCCCATTTGGTTATGAAACTGGGCCAAACCAGCTCAGAAACTGTTGACAGTGTGTGTTTGTAAGACTTGCTCTTTTAAAACTTCAAAATTTTTCTTCCAAAAACAAACACCAAAATGAAAGTCAGAAGAGTACTTTTTCTGCAATACATTACATGCGAATGAAAGAATTTATTCTTGCAAATATAATTGTGTAAGCTTTTAAGCCAACGCTCAGGTATAAGAGAATCTGTAGTTGAATATAAAGACTGCAATATCCTTCTCTTCCCTTTTGCTTAAAATGTCTTTTTTTCTGCTTTGTTTCTCTTTCTAAAGAAATTAGAAGAATTGAAATGTGTCTGTGCACTGTAGGATGGCAGGTAACATAATGTCAACCTGTCAGTAAAGATAGTGCACCAACTTGGTAATGGCTTTCTTTTCTATCCCAGCTGAACTAGTCACAAGTTACTAGGACATGTACAGTGGTTCAACTATGAGAAGATGTAATGTATGAATTATTTCTTACTTATCCAAGACTTCACTACTCTTACCATTTTAGGCCTCACAAGGAGAGTACAGGAGAAGTGAGTGAGTCTGGAGCATCTGTTGTCAAACATGGTCTTAAAGCAGAAAAAATCTTCATGCAGGTTCATTATTTGAAGGTGAGTTTTGTAAGCTGATTTTTATTAAGGTTGGTTTACTAATATTACAAAGATTTATTTCTTCTACATATCAGCATATTCATAGCATCCTATTTGTTTTTGGTTTAATTTCTTGCAGGGTTATTTCCTTTTGCGGTCTCTGGCAAGTACATTAGGAGAGGCTTCATACCTTGCATCTTTACGAAAATTTGTCCATAAATTCCATGGACAGCTTGTTCTTTCTCAGGTACAGTGCTCGGGATCGTTACTCACATTTTGAAACACAAAGGACATAAACTTTCTGTTTAACTATCTAAATGACTACTTCTGATTGTGGTTGGAATATGAATGTCAATTGTAGCTTAGCAGTATTGGTGATATTTCTACCTGTTAGGAGGCAATACTATTTTTCACTGTGATACTTGAATCTCATTCCTTGCATGTATCACATAATGTAAGCAATGGATTAAATTTGTTTTAGGCTGTCAGCTTGCTACTTGGAAAGGTCATGTTCATAGGTTCTGATGTTCTCAAATACAGGTCTTTTACTCTCCTGTAATTGTCTCTTTTATTGTATTTTTTTAATTTCTGGATTTTGGTTGTAATCGGTGGATTACTCTTTTTGCTTGAGAAAGAAAAAACACAAAGTAGGAATGTAACTGAAAACTTCTATAAGTAGTAACAGTGTATGCATGTTATGTTCTCCCTTTATTCCTTCCTCTCTCTGTGTTGCTTCATTTGGTTCTTTTCATTTCAGTCTTTCTTATGAGAACTGCTTCCTCCCCACAGTCAGTGTCGCTATCACAGTATGAGGTTGCACACACCTCTATTACAGTCTTATCACAGCACCTTTTCTCTTCATGCTCCATACTTTCATGCCATCTAAAACAATTTCTTGTTCTTTCTGTTGCTGAAATATTAACCACAAGGGATATTTTAAGATGCACTGTTTCTTTCTTTCAGTAGATTTTCTGGCAGTGATAATGTGCAGTGGCAGCCAAGAGCAGATATTCTCATAGAAAATGATTTCTTCCTGGATTGGTAAAGGCTTGGTTTTTGAAAAATAGCATTGAATTAAGAATCAGATTTTGCCCTTCCAAAGTCCACTACATATATGAATCACTTGCACTACAGACTTAGCTTCTTTCATACTTGACATAAATGTTATATAATTATGTCATGCAAAGTAGAATGGCTTCAGACAGAAAGATTGAGCAAGTCACACCATAAAATACTGTAGCATCTCTTAGGTAGAAAACCCAACTGCAGTTATAGATGGAAAGTGACTTCCCCCAGACCTTTCTGAAAAGGTCCTATAACCTCTGACTGTATCACTAAAAGAGAAATAGTCTTCTCCTGAAGTCTATTGCTTTGAGAAAGGAAAGACGTAGCTCTCTAAACCCAAAGTTCTAGGAAATGTTTCACCAGTGATGAAACAAGCACAGCATCTTACTGCATCTGTAATGTTGTATAGTTATTTGTGGAGGTGTATGAACCAGTTCACTGAAGTCATCATTGTTAAAAACAGTCCTGAAACAAAAGCCATGACATGATAAATAGTTGGCCTAACTACGAGAGCAATGTGATGAGAGTGAAGAGCGGGAGAAGAGAAAAAAGAAGGGGCACGAGTGAATTTCTGAAATTAGTTTCTTTGTGTGGTGTGACAGTTTATATCTTAAAGAGGATTCAGGATGGTGAATATCATAGATAAACATCTCCTTGCAACATAGAATATGTGGTCTCTGCTCTTGGGGGAATGGAGTCCAACACAATTCCTCCTTCTTCCAGGGCAGTGATTCTTTGCCCAGTGCACCTGGTATTTTGGTTCTCACTCTGAAGGGGCCATCTGTCTCTGTGTATCTTTAAAAATAACTCAGTGGTCTGCAGATTCTTTTTTATATCATGTCACAATATTTAGGCTTAATTGCTCAACTGCAGCAATTCTGCCCTGCAGAGGAAGATTTGGGATGCTGAGGCAGTTAATTTTTCTACTGCTACAGCTGTTTCCTGTACCGTGTTACTTAGACCCTGAGCAGTTGTATTTAGCATACAGTGGAAAACACCAGTGACTATGCAAGCTTTGTCTCTATTATTGTGTCCAAAATCATAAATGTGAGCTCCAGAATTACACAACTGAAGATGTGCTGAAAATTACAGAAATCAGGAAAGTGGTAAGGCCTGAAGTAGTCTAGTGTTTTAATCTGATTGTAGTCAGATGCAGGAATTTTGGTGAGAAAAAGGGGTCTAGTTGCAACTACATCAATTTCTTGACATAAGATGAGTTGTGTCTGTAGACTGTATAAATGCTGCAAGATGTTCTAGCACATTATGCTGCTAGTAATTGTACCTAGAGATTTCTCATTCTGCCCAGCACTTTGCTATGAAACATCAGTTTATTGCTTATCTTGCTGTAGTCTGATATGCTGTTTCTGCACACAGAAACCATTGTTTTGAGCAATTGGATAAAAACCTGTTCAATGTTCTTTAATTAGTCAAGCAAGAGTAAGTGATACTTTTATTTTAGTTTTCCTAGGCTGGTTTTTATTTGAGTATGTGCATAGCTATGTGCTTAATGTAGATCAAAAACAGGTGCTTTACTTATTTGAAGATATTTGATTTGGTGGATTTTGATTTACTGTGTACTATACTATAAAAGTATTCTGGTTATATACAGTAAATATTTTTAGCAAGAGCTGGATGTCTTGAGCATTCCTAAATGGCTTTGCTTGAGAATCGGGTATAAAGAGGTGATGCTTTTTGTGCTTTTACCTTGTTTCATATCAGCCTAAATCCAGTTCCTACTGAAGTTGATGGGAAGAGTTAATCCACTGTTTAGGCAGGTGTATAGTTGTAAATTAAGGGCAAGACTAAATTTTAGTATGATCCTGTTGTTTAATCAGTATGTTAACAAGTGCAAAGCAGATAGGACTATATCCAGCCGTAAATGTATTTTCTTTCTCTGTAAGAAGTCTTAAAGACTGTATTTATGTTGGTATTGGTAGATAAATAATCACAGCAGGAACTGAAAATGCAGGAGCAGTGAAGTCAAGTTAGTATAAAGTTTATTATTCAGGATCCTTCCTGAGCGAATGTGCTGCCCAGGTTTAAATGAATAAAAGATTTAAAATAAATTGAGGTATGAATGTAAGTTTAAATGTCATAATGTTGTACTTCCACCTTGTCCAAAATAATTGTAGAAGTTCCCAGCTTTAGGAATTGTGGGGAAGGGGGAAAGTAAAAGTAGTGAAAATAATTGCCCATGTTCTGAATACCAGCCTTGTTTTCAGTGGTGTTTGTAGTACTTTTTGTAGATGAGAGCTGCAGGTGCAAGGAAATGACTTCAGATGTGAAACATTAATCAGTGCTTTTTTCCCTCATTTTGATTGCATGCTCAGTATGTTTTTCATAGCAGTTTTTGTTTGTTTTAGTTAAGTTGTTAACAGACAAGTCTGGAATCTCCAAGAAGGATTTTAAGAAAGTCTTCCATTTTTCTTTCTCTGGGAGAATTCACTTAGTAGCTGCGTTGGATGAAATTTTAAAAAATGGATATAGTGTAACTGACTATGAATAAATAGACAGGAGTGCAAGTTGCTGATACTTGTAATGCAATTAAAGCTGTTGTTCAGTTTGATATTGAAATAAGAACACATTGGAAACTGAACTGTTTGCAGCCTTTCATTTTTATGTACTTCTGTTACAATAATAACCAAAGGTTTATAGTGTTCAATCATCCGATAGAGCTACAGTTTGCTCATGTAAAATGACAACTAAGAAGACAGCGCTTCAAAAATATTTTATCTATACTTGAAAGTTTTAAAGGCAGATGTATGAATCCAAGCTTACTGTGCATATGTCTACATCAACATCTTCCTGCATACTTTTTTATGTATGTGCACGCAGTTTCTTTTTCACACCAAAAGTTGGTCTGTGCACGCACAAATAGTAATTTAACTGTCCATTTTTAGAACTGTTTCATCTAGAATTGGAACCTTAAGAATGCAGTCTGTATGTATTTTGATGTTTCATCGTCTAGAATCTTTTCCTAATACTTATTTTTATTTAAACTTTTATAACTGCAGTTTGGCCTCAGCTGTTCCATACTTGACTTGTGAGCTTGAGTAAACAGCTGTTGAAATCCATGGAACTTGGTGTGGATTCTGACACTGTCCCAGCCACAGCAGCCTGTAGGACAAGGGTCTTTCTTTACTCTCGTGTGCTTGTAAAATATAAACAAACAGGTCATTTTTACTCATATTGAATTAGTTTCCTCTTTCAATTGACTGGAGTACCTATTCTGTGAATAAAAGCTGATAGCTAGGATTGTACCATCTGGAGAAGAGAAAGCTCTAGGTAGCCCTCACTGCAGTCTTCCAGTACTTAGAAACCTATAGGAAGCTGGTGAGGGACTTTTTATCAGGGAATGCAGTGATAGGACAAGAGGCAAGGACTTTAAACTGAAAGAAAAGGAACATATAAAGTTTTGTGTGAGTAAGACTGGTTTAGAAAAATGATTAACATGGTACAAGGCTTTTTTGTTTTGGAGAGATTTTGTTGTGGAGAGATCCTATTTTATCTGATCTTTTCATAATTAACGACTTAAAGTATTTTAAAATATAGATATATCATAATGAAGTAGGGCTAGAAATGGAATTGGAGAAAACAGCAGAGAGGAATGGAACTAAAAGAAGTTCAGAAGTTTTATAATCATATCTCTTACAGATGAAAGATGAAAAAGTCTTCTATAAGTCACACATTTGAAATATATATATATATAAAAATCCAAATATATTTCAGCATCCTTGTTTCGAGTACAAAGATCTTTAAAGAAATTCTAAGCTTTATGAGTGTTATCTCTTCTGTCAAGGAAGAGACCCATCTCTCTGAAAATATCATAAACCTTTCTGATACCATATACAAGTCTTTCTCATTCTACTGATGTAAGTCTACAGCTTCAGTCATCAACTCTGGAATATCTTTCTATATTTCCATTTTTGCTATCACAGTCTCTCACATCACTGCTGACTTGAAGATTTTGTATTTGCATAGTTTCTACTCAGCATCCTTTAAGCGTAAAGGTGCATAGTAGTTTGTTCCTATTTTATAATCATTTGATAGGAAAAGGCACTTTTTTTTTGTTTAACTGTGACCAGAGCAAACTGACAAGGGAGTACTTCCAATGCTTGCGAGTTCTATTGGTGCCTACTGAATCACAGCTACAGTTTCTGTTTGATTTGCATGGATGAGGTTTAAATAATCAATTGAATCTTAGCAATGATTTTCTGCTGAATAATCTTAAAAAGAAGTTGAAAGGATGATTGAGTAGTGCCATTGATATTAACATTTAGTTCCTCATCTTTTTCATAGGCACATGTAGTTTTTACAAATGAGTTTGAGGCAGCATAGGCTCCAGAATCAAAGTGCTAGCAGAATTTATGTACAAGCTTGTATTTCTTTACTTATGATAGAATGGCTTGGGTTAGAAGGGTCCTCAAAGATCATCCAGTTCCAAATCCCTCCTGTGGACAAGGTTGCTGCCCGTTAGATCAGGCTGCTGAGGACCCCATTCAACCTGTCCTTGACTGTCTCCAGGAATGGGACATACACAGTTTCTCTGGGCAGCCTGTGACAGTACCTCAACATGCCCTGACATCTAATCTAAATCATAGAATCATAGAATGGCTTGGTTTGGAAGGGACCTCAAGGGTTATGAAGCTCCAATCCCCCTGCTGCCTGCAGGGCCACCAACCTCCATATCTAATACTAGACCAAGCTGCCTAGGGCCACATCCAGTCTGGTCTTGAACACCTTCAGGGACAGGGCATCCAAAGCCTACTTGGGGCAGCCTGTTCCAGCTCCTCACCACTCTCTTGGTAAAGAACTTCCCCCTGATATCCAACCTAAATCTTCTCTCCCTCAACTTAAAACCACTTCCTCTTGTCCTGCCATTATCTACCCTTGTAAAGAGTTGACTCCCCACCAGTACCATTTAGGTACTGGAAGGCTGCAATGAGGTCACCCCACAGCCTTCTCTTCTCCAGGCTGAACAAGCCCAGCTCCCTCAGCATGTCTTCACAGGGGAGGTGCTCCAGCCCTCTGATCAGGAGGCCCTCCACTGGACCCTCTCTAGCAGCTGCGTCTTTCTTGTATTGGGGGCCCCAGACCTGGATGCAGTGTTCCAGATGGGGCCTCACAAGAGCAGAGTAAAGGGGACAATCACCTCCCTGTCCCTGCTGGCCCTCTTCTGATGGAACACAGGATACCATTTGCTTTCTGAGCTGCAAGAGCACACTGCTGGATCATGTTAAGTTTTTCATCCACCACGACCCCCAGGTCCTTCTCTGCAGGGCTGCTCTCAAGGACTGCTCCTTCCAGTCTGTATATGTGTCTAGGATTCCTCTGTGCCTTGCACTTTGCTGTGTTGAACCTCAACAGGTTCACCCAGGCTCACCTTTCAAGTTTGTTGAGGTCCTTCTAAATGGCATCCCTTTCTTCCACTGTATCAACCATACTGCTCACTTGGTGTCATCAGCAAACTTGCTGAGGGTGCACTCAATTCCATCATTGATGTCATTGTTAAAGATGTCAAAGAGCACCACTCCTAAGAAAGTCCCCTGCGGGTGGACTGCTCATTACCAGCCTCCTGGTAAATCGCCCCTCTTTTAGTTTAAAATCATTCCCACTTGTCCTATCACTATCTGCCTGTGTAAAAAGTCAGTCTGCTTTCTATTTATAAGCTCCTTGTAAGTATTGGAATGCCACTGTGAGTTCTCCCAGAGCCTTCCCCAAGCTAAATGAGGCCAGCACCCTCAACTTTTCTTCACAGGAGGTGTTTCAGCGCTCTGATCATCTGGCCTGCTCTAGTAGCTCCATGTCTTTATTGTACCTGAGGCCCAAGGCCAAGTACTCTGTGTGGAGCCTCACAAGAGTAGAGCAGAGGGAGACAATCACCTTCCTTGCCATGCTGGCCACCCTTCTTTTGCCACATCCCACACACAGTTGGCCTTTCAGGCATCCAGTCTTCCAGCTGCAACCTAAGAAAGGTGCTTATTATTTATTTTCAACCCCAAAAGGGACAAAGTAACGTTTGCCAATTTTTAAGTAATTCTAAAATTGTATAATAGAGGTAGTTTGAGTCATAGTTTCCATAAGGAATTGGCTGTGAGTGCATCTGGAGCAAAAATGCATTTGTTACTAACTGAGCATCCTTTGATGTCAAGCATGCCATCTTGAGTCATTGCTTTTATACAACTTCATGTATGTATATTTGATTAGAGAGTTGAACTGAAATTAATTTTTTTATCACAAAATACTAATAATATCTAGATTTGAGTTTTCGACAAAAAAGATTTTTTTCCTTTAATATTCGTTGTTCATTTCACAAACTTCAGAGTGACAGTTTCTGTCTATAAGGAAAAGCTGTTTTTTAGCCTCTGAGTTTCCAACCACGGAAGAGCAACAGGAGTACATAGGGAACTGAGATTATTTAATACTACTACTACTAATATTAATAATGATAACAGATTATTAAATATTATAAAATAATGCAATTATAATTTAAAATATAAATATTAATAAGCCGATTTGTTAACAATGATGCACTGTGGTGACATGATTGCTAACTTGTGTTTTCTTTCTGACTTCATTGAATTACTTGTGAAAAAGAAAAAATACGAATTGTATTTTGTTTCATGATTTGACTCAGTCATCCATCTGCAGGTCTTAGCTTCAAAGTTTAAGGTCACTAGAGTCTATTAAATGTCATTAAGGCTTAATCTCCTAGGTTTGACATTTAACTCTTCTGAACCATTACCTGGAAAGGAAGGCAAAAATAGCCCAAGGTTAAAATTTCACTCCTGATATTTAATGTTTGGCAAAATTATAAGCAACTGAAAAGTCAGTTCTATGATGGTGATATGTCAGGCAGAATTAATTACCAGCAAATGTTAAAAGAAATGAAGATGTGTTGATATGAGGTATTTTGTTTTCCTATTCTGTTTTGGAGCATTGAAATACAAACAATTAAAATAAGACAGAAGAGATTAATCCAAATTTTTAGCAAGTGTGAAAAAGAATTCCTATGCTTTGTGGGTATTTAGATAGATGAAGAGTGACTGTCTTTAATAATGCTAGGTTGTGGAAAGGATGGGATGTCAGAGAGCCATTCAGTAATGTCAAGTGGAACTTTCTATAAAGGGGGCTTATCATACTGTTATAAGTGAGGATGATAGTAATGTTGTTCCACTGTCATAGCACTTTCCTTCTTAATCCATGAAAGAAGTTCTGTCTTCCTTCTCTTTGAAGAGTTTACTCCATGGTGTGATTCAAAGCAAGACTGTGAATTTTGCCAGAGTAGGTGTGGCCTTCTGATCAATTGAGTGCATAGAGGAAAGAAAAAAAAAAGCCAACATTAAAATATGTTATTTTCATAATTATATTTTCGTGAATAATTACACACTAATGATAATGTGATAGCAATAGAACAATGAAGAGAATGTGAAGAATACCCATGACTCTGGTGTTTATGACTGCCTGAGTATATGAATTTCCAGCTTTTAACAGCTATAGTTTGTGTATTCTTATAGAGAAATTAAAAAGGGAATGTAGGATTGTGTTAAAATAGTCAACAAGCTTTTCAAGTCCATTTTCTTTCAATATTGACACTCTTTCCTTGAATGGGTTGAAAAACTGACAAACATAAGGCTTGTTGCATAAATAATTGAGCAGAATAGCTCCAGGGCAGATATACAAACTTTGTTCTTATCATACTGTTGTATGCAGTCTTTAAAAATCTGTTGCTTTTTAGCAATGCAGACACATAGTTATCTCTTCATAAACACACTATTTGTGGTGTTTTGTTTGTTTTCCAGGATTTTCTTTCTACGCTGTTGGAAGACATACCCGAACAAAAAGAGTAAGTGAGAACAAGATTAGTAAAGTCATAGAAAATAGTGGAGTCAGATTTAATTTTCAGCAATGCTGGTCAGAAATAGGATTTCACTTATTATTTTCTGAATGTTGCATTCAAACATGTGCATTTGTCTTTCTCTATAAATTCTCATTCATATGTACAAGCAAAAATATAAGACTTGTGATATAGCTATTCCATGCTCCCCTCCCAAGCAGTGTTTTGAATGTTAAGGCAGCAGCATTAAGGTTTGTGTTCACTGTGTGACCTGAAGTGCGGGGCACAGCTGCTCGGCTTAATTTATGATCCTCCTGCCAGCTGCTTCTGGCACATGAAGTCCAAGAGCAAGAAGAGCTTTGCCCTGGATCTAGGAGAGCAGAGAAGGTTTTTACGCAAGCAGTAGGATGGTAGTATCCTCTCCTTGTCACACAGTGTTCCAAATGAGGGAAAGATAAAAAACACAGAAATCCAGTGTTAAGCACCTCTCATGTCCTTGAAGTCCTCCTCTGTGTGACTGGCTGAACTTGGTACAGCATGTCTTTAACAGAAATTTGAATCCATCACTGCTTATTTGTTGGTTAGTTCTGTGTTACTGTGGGCTGTGCTACAAATACAGGTTCTTCTACAGTGAACTCTGGCATATTTTAAAAAATAGCACGTTTACTGGAAAAAACACATTTTTCAGAAGCAAGATTATGAAAGTCTTTATTGAGTTTATATTTTTCCCGAATAAAAAAAGAAAAACAGAGAGAAGTCTAAAGTGTGAAGTTCTGAGATTTTTAGTGAAAGGCTTCTGTTCTAGGGAGTGAGAGACAGGGAAGATACTCATAACTGAGATATTGGTTTGTGCCACCAGGAGTGGTTACAGTTTTCAAAGATTTACCTTGGAATGCTGTGTGGTTTGTATCCTTGGATAGGGATTCCCAGCCCCACAAGAATCAGGAATATTAAATAGAGAATATGGAGAATATGAGGAAGTAAATTACCTAGTGATTTGATTATACATTGATTTGTTAGTAGAAATTCCACTTTCCTTTTCTCGTATGTTTCTCCACAGCCCAATGCAAAGTGTTATTTGAATAAGCAGCCAATTTTCAGCCAAGATACATGCCAAGATATGTGTAAACATTTAGTAAGACTAATGCAAAGGAAGTATGGCACCATTTGTTTTGCATCATCCTCCAGAATAATACATAGAAAAATTCAGATCTATGGAAATTAATTTTACAGCCAGACATACAGTTTATCTGAACTTGTGTACTCTCAAAATCACCCTGAATGTAGATATCAACAGCAGTGTGTGGAGTAAAAGAACATGTGAATAGAGAGTAGGCATTTATTTCTTGTCTACTACAAAGATTTTTTTTTCATTCTTGAATGCATGCTGTTGGTAGTAAACAAAAACAGCCTGAAGGAAAAGTGAAGGGAGAAGAGGTGAAAACAAAGTATCTTTAGACATCATCTGTTGATAAGTTTTTTGTTTTTTTTGTTTTTTTTTTGCACAAAGGTTCAACCACAAGAATAAGGCACACACAAAGTGCAGAGCAACAATTCGAATTCTCCGTAGCACACAAAATTGCTCACTCTTGTGCAATTCTACCAAGTAAAATTTTAACATTAAACCTAAACAGTTCTTCCTTGAAAAATATTAAGCATTCTAATATTGCATTGGAGTCTGACCTTAATAAGAAAGAAAGAAGTAAAAACAAATTACTAGTATGGAATGAAGCCAACTCAGCTATGTCATAGCTAAATCAGCTATGGCAAAAGAGGCACACTTAGTGTTGCTAAGAGAAGAGTTTGGCTCGTTGGGAGATGTTTATAATGAGAGTAGCATTAGAATTGGCAGAAAGCTATTGCACTAAAGTGTGGAAATTTTCTGTAATTATTACTTGGTAGTGGTAGTAATGGAGTAATGGTACATCAGTTTTCTGCTTTTTGATGCAGCAGACTGTAAGTTTTCTTCTTTTGCCAAACTTAAGTACTCCAGGTTTTAGTTACAGGAGCTTTTTTTAGTACATTCCCAATGATGAACAGCTCCAAGATACAGACATAACTTCTTGAGATGCAGTCCCTGATTTTTGCTGTCTTCCATACATAGAGGAGGATTACATACCTACCTACTTCCTTTCTGCTCTGACTCAGTTTTGCTAGCTACAGGAATCCATTCTCACAGACAGATCCTTCTGTTTCTGCACTGCAGCTGGATTCTGACCAACAGGCCTAGAATCTCCTAGCTTGCACTTAAGGTCGATTTTTCTCTGTAAGGGGCTAATGACAAGAAGGAGAAATGCCTATCAACATTATCTGTCATTGTTTCAAAGTCTTTTAAAATATTATATGCTCTGGCTGTAGCTCTATATTAACTTGTAACTAGTAAGAAATCTGTAATACTACTCATTTGCAACTGGGATATCTTATTTCCTCATATTTAATTTGAGACTTCATTGCAGTTTTTTTTTAGAAACAAGCCAAACAACAACAAAACTACTCCTACATGTCTTTTTATTGTAGTCCACTAACTTTGATCAAAACTTTCCATGGTTCTGCTCTTCTTAAGGCTTAAATCTATGTTCCTTAATTGTAAACTGATCCTTTCCACATCTGCCCATCATGTAAACCATGCAAAAACTCAGTGTTTTTAAGGTCCTGTAATACAGAGTGAGCTTTGTCAACCTCAGATAAATCAGAGTTGCAGCTGTTTGTGTTCTTTATGAGTGCAGATCATTTTTGTGTTAGTTTTCTGGTGATTTTTTTTATTTGATTCAATAAAATAAATAAGAGGATTAATAAACCTATTGTTCTAATAACGCAGAATAGACAGAGAATGGATTGTGTTATATTTCTGCTATTTGTACTGCTAATAACTCAGACTTACTAACCGCATTCTTTGGACATCTTTATAAACTGTCAGTTTATTAAGAAATCAATGCTAAAATAATGCTGTAATTTCAAAACATTCATCTACGTAGGTATATGTCTCTTTCTTTCATGCTTTCCCTCTTGGATGCTCACACTGAAGGCTACTTACCATGAATATGTTGATTTTGATGAAGATGCATAGTTGTAAGGCTCCCAACCTTTCTTTCCCAATATTTGTGATCCCAGTTCGGGGAAAAAAAAAAAAAAAAAAAAAGGAAAAAAAAAACCTTATCTGTAGGAAGCTATTAGGTTCTTGACAGTCACTGATTGGTCACTACTCTTTGCTTTATCATATAGCTGAAATGTCTTACTTTGAAAATAATTTATATGAATGAATTCATATATCCAGATGAAGCGAATATGCTTATTGAAGTATTTTCAGCTGGATCTGTTGACTTTTTGCCTTCCTTTACCTCCCTCTCTGCCTACAAAAAAGTTATGTTCTTTCATGTTCCCTGTTTATTTGAACAAAATTTTTTTTTCTTAATGTGGATTCTCTTCCTTGATTGAGGAATTAAGTGGGTTTATGTTTAAAGTTTCCAAAGTGCCTTGGGGCCCAGTGCAATGAAAGCTTGCTATGTAGACAGTTTTTATAACTTTAACTTTGAAATTATCATCAATGCAAGTATTTTATAGAGATTTTTCTGAAACATTGCATCTGGCCGTATACTGTATGTATACATGTTAGATCATTCATCATCTGATCAGCTTAGTCTAAACAGTTGACAAGAGATAAGATAAAGGAGACACTAGTGTTCTTACAGCAGGGAACAGTGGTACAAAGCAATTAAGAAATTGCCATACTATGTTATAAGCTAGATTCCCTTAGCCCGGTACACTACCTAAAGCAGAAGGCAATTCAGAAAATCAGACATACGGATTTAAGTCCTACAGATGCTGAAAGGCAACATAAGTAGGTGGTAAGTGCCCTTTCTGAATATGGGTGCTTTACTGAATTGCAGCCTTTAGAAATACTTGGCTCTGAGTCCTTTCCGTGGGTTTTGAAACAGTAATTTGTTTATGATCTGGAGGAAAGTGTCCCTGCTCATGGCAGGAGATTGGAACTACATGATCTTTGAGGTCCCTTCCAATCTAAGCAATTCTATGAGTCTATGATGTATCTTTTGGGTTTGTCTGGAAGTTGGTAGAAACCTTTCCAAGTCTCAGTTAAGTATTGACTCTCAACTCATTTAGAGCAGATTTTCGCAATAGTCTTCACAACACTAAAACATTTGAAGAAAAATAAAAAAAGTAGTATGCTACAAGTTGATATTTTTGATAAATACTATCAAGAATGTCCTAAGTTGTTGTAGTGCTTTCATTCTGATAGGTTTCACTCACAGTCCTCAAAGGCAGAAGGCAGAGGGGGAAAAGATTGTAGGGGTTGAGATATGGACAAGAAGATTGCGAACCAATTACCATCATAGGCAAAACAGTTTCAAAATAGGAAGATAATTGCCTGTTTGTAACAGGACAGATCAATACAAACTAAAAGCAAGCTAAAAACTTGCCCCCCTGTCTATCTTCTGTCTTCTACCTCCTCCCTCCAAGGGTTGCAGGAAAACAGAGAATGGGAGCTGCAGACAGTCCATAACACTTTCTCTCTCTTGTTCCTTCATGGTCACTCTGCTGCTACTCCACATGGATCCCTCTCACAAGATGATGTTCTTTCCAAACTGATACTAGGTGGCAGCTCTCCCCGCACTGATCCAACACAGCTCCATACCGTGAGGCCCACACTCCAGGCACTGCTCCACCACTGTCCCCATGGGCGGCAGCTTCCCCAGCCCTCCTGCGCCACTGAGGGTTGCTCTCCAGAGCTGCAGCTCCAGCCAGGAGCACAGCTTCTGCTGTGGGGGCTCTCCATGGGCTGTATCTCATTCAGGTCTTACCCACTGCTGCAAGATGGGTTCCTCCGTGGCTGAATGTGGAGGTCTGCTTTGCGTGGTGCCCATGGGCTACAGGGGGACAGCCTGCTCCTCCATGAGCCTCTCCTGGGCTAACGAGAGCTTTTACTCTGCACCTCCTGCCCTCTTTCTGCACTGATCTTGGGGGCTGCAGTATTATTTCTTACATTTTTTCACTCACTGTTCCCAGCTGCTGTTGCAGATTTTTTCTTTCTTAAATATGCTGTCTGTCACCATCATCTCTCACAGGCTCAAAAAAAACACAATGGGGTATAATAAATAAAGTCACTACATAGCAAATACGGTGTAATCACTCAACCTAGATAATTTTTTTTCTGAGAAAATCTTGCATTTTAAGTTTTGCCTAGGCTGTTAAAGGGGGTGGAGAAACTGGCAATGTGAAGCTATGTTTCTTATCCCAAGGTAAAACAAATTAAGTGTGTATGTGAAAGTATTTTTACCTAGCTGCTAGCTCTTGTACAGCTTTGGAACATAAAACTAAGCTGGTTTTGATTCATGAGAGCAAAAGTGGAAAAGTCATCTTCTGATTATACTGCTTGAGACAGAATAAATTAAATGATTCACCTGACCTCCCTCTGACTATACAAAATTTTGCTGTCTCATTTTAAGCTTGTCCTATATGTGCTTTTTGCAGTAAACCCACAGTAAGATGCACTCAAGAAAAAAAAGTTGTCTTATCCCAAGGAAAGTGTACTGACTGACTGTTTGGACTTACCTTTTTTTTTCCTCCTGTTCACTTTGGAAGGAATTCAACTGACTAGCTTAATTAGACACCAATTTTTAGAATACTTCATGGAGATAAATGTAATAAAGCCTGAAGGACCTAGAATTTAAATGTTCTAAATTTGCATAAAAGACAAGGTAGTATTAAAAGTGGACCAAATCTAGATATAATTCACTTGAATGTAGAAGACCATCCCATCACAAGCATGACATCACAGGTTTAGTTACCTGTGTAAAATCAATTCCCATAGTGATCAGACGTATACTATGGTAATTTCCTGAAAATTCATAATCCTTGCCAATGTAAAAATGCTTTTTCTTGAATACTGTGATTGAATCACATGGTATGAGAAGTTTTATAATTTTTTTTTTTTTTTTTTCAGACTGTGGCAGTCTACTATTTTCTAATGTTACAGGATATATTTTTGACTTCTCAGATTTATTAATTAGGGAGATTTCTTTCTCTCTTTGGGAATTATTATTCTTTGTAGAACTTTTTAAGTCACCTCAGCCAGACTTAAAATGTCATTTCTCACTTGTAAAGAGCCTGAGAGAAAGGCTGGGACCTAAATTGCTTGAGTTGTTGAAATATAGTACTATCATTAAATAGACGGTTTAGTTTCCAAATTAAGCTTCCTTAGTCAGCAACACAATATATGACTGATCAAAAACTAAAGAAAACTGTTAAAAGAATAGAGACTGTATACACGTATAGATGACATTGTTGTCACTGTGAATAGAATGACCTTTTTCTTTTTAATTTGCAGCTTCTTACAGTATTTAATGTGATCTCTGCCCTGTGTATGCAAGTATATCTTAGTAGCTGAAAGACACAGGGCAGCACTTGTAAGCACAGGCTTTTTTATGTTTAAGGTACCTGGTGATTCATTTTTGCCTTTGTTACAACATTCCTGTGTATTTTGGATGAGCTTATTGTGATCAGATTGCTTATTTTTTGCAGGTACCGCTGAACAATTACTCAATGAGTAGACAGCTGACTCTCTGTTTTAATCAGATACTCCTGCCTCTAATTCAAATTGGCAGAATTTTATTCTATTAAGCAGGCCTGCTTTTAAAGATACTTCCTTCAGAATACTGCTAAATGGGAGTAGACATGGTAGATCTAACATGATGGTGTGAAATAGAGATTGTAACTATTAGTTGTATCTCAAAGGAATATAACATGTAGTTCTGTTGAGAGATGGAGGGGAAACTTTTCATCTTGAATTCAAGGAAATTAAGAATATCTAAGTCAAGATATAACCCATGTCTGGAAAAGTGCTGCTGCTAACCATGCCAATCATGCTAACCATCAATAATTTAGATCTTTGGTCAGTCCAAAGTAAATTAGACAAGATTAAAAATAATTATAATGATTACTAAGAGCAGTAAACAAATGTTTATTCTATGATTTTGTTGAGTGTTTCATCATATTGATTGACTGCTTTCGAGACTTCATAAGCTCTCTAGCATTAATTTTCCTAGTTGCATGTCAGGCATAACCGTGATCGATCTGTCTCCCAGTGGCATAGCAAAGTTAATATTTAAAGGTGTTCTAAAATCATTCAGTAAAAAATGATTGATGGATTCATTGCAGATTCTTTCACAGTCACAGATACAGTCCATAAATAAACTTCCTATACGGTCAGAATGTTAAGCAGAACTTTCTCAGAGTAGGGGAAAATAAAAACCAACAGAATTCTTTGTCATGTAAGTTAAATTAAAACCAGTGTTGAGAAGCTTGCCTTCCTGCTTTAGAAATTCGAAATGGAGGTTCTTTTTGGGCACTTTGTTGATTATGGGTCTTCACTTGAGGGTAGCTGCAGATACTAGAATGATTCTTGCCAAGGTATTTCAGTGCACAGGACTGTGCATGTTCTTCTCAGAATTTATAGACAGCTTATTTAAGTATTATTTTTCAGTATTGGCATACTGCATGAACAGTGTAATTTTTTTAATATAATTTGCTTCTCTGTAAGTTGGGAAGTTTTCAGCCTAGGTTGAAGTAAATTCAGCAGAAGCTACTTGCAAAAGCAAAAGTGGAAATATTATTTCTGAATGTACAAATAATTCTGCCTGTGGTTATTTTAGTAGCACGCTGCTTGGTCAAAACAAACTATTTCCTTTTGTATTAGTTGAAGCTCTAGACTATTCCAGACTTCACTTTGAGTGTTATCAGCATATAAAGAAAATGTAGGAGAGATTAAACTTAAACTAAAATATATTAACTACTCAGTAACTCTGAGGATTAAAATCTATTGGTGCCTTTGAAATCCATAAGTTTATAGAAGTTGTTCTTTTATTTAATCTTCTTTGGTACTTTAATTTTACTTATAGGCTGCTTCTGTAACAACTGGTTTTGTGTATTTCCAGTTAAACTTACTTGTCCCATGTTTTTGGTTTGTTTTTTTTTTTTTTTTTTTTTTTTTTTCCAGTGGAAGAAAGAAAAATGAGAGCACATATTCATAATTTACATTTTATAATGCAGTTTACTATCTTAAGTGTTCTATGCCTATAGCCATTTGTCCTCTGTTTAAACACGAAAAAAATCTGATCTGTCTTTTATTTGCTCATATCACCTCTGATGGTATTATTCATTAAAAAATCCATAATGTACTACTACTGTATTACATTCAGTACCGGAAATTCAGGGTTTTGCTTGGCTACTTCACTGTTAAACTTAATGTGAAAAATGTCTATTTTTGTGTGTATTCTCTAACTTTTTTTTTTTTTTTTTTTTTTGAAGGTCTGGGTTAACTGTTGAAAGTATCTCCCAGAATTGGCTTGATACTTCTGGCATACCAAAGGTAAATTCAAAATATTTGTTCTCTGTTCTTTCTGGAGACTTGCATTTCACATTGTATATATAATGTATTATTTTTAAATAAACAATTTTGATTATGACTCTACATCTTAATACAAAGAGAAAGAAGAGAACATTTGCTTTAATTGGAAGGGTGCAAGAGAAAGGACAATGTAATCATGCATCTTGATGTTCAATCATTTCTTGAAAAAAAGTCCTTGATTTTAATACTATGTTTTAATCAAGAAAATAAATAGAAGATTCAATATGTTGTAGAACAGCTGCTTTAAGTATAAACTGATGTTGCATAACTATAGTTTTAAGGTACTAAACAGGCTCTCTGAAATAAAAGAGTGTTCTACCATTTTGTGTAGAATTGTCTCTCTGAGGATATGCCTTACTTGTTTCCACAGTCAGCTCTGAAATCACAAGTAAGGAAGATAGGAGTATGCTAAAGAATTGAAAATAACTGATTTGTATGAAAACTGAACACTGTCTGCTTGAGTGTGTACTGTAAGCTGTGCAGAATGACTAGCAAGTAGTTTCATAATTTCCCGTGTCTACTGAATTTGTAGGTAAAACATAGCAAAAATATAGCTGTTCTTTTGAGAATCAGCATGCTCAACTCTCCTCTATTTCTTTCATCAGTAACCTGTCTGATTTCTTACTCTTGTTGCCTTCAGCACTTCTCAGGCTCTTGCAGGAACTGATTTCCACTGTACTAAAAGAAATGGAGCTGTCATTCAGTGCATAAAAAACCTTGTTCACTTAGTGCTTTATTAAATCATCTGGGGAGGCCTTATACCTGAAATCAAGACTGTCAAGGCTGCTTAGTAGCTCTCAGTACATTTCTATCTGTAATCTGTTTATGACTTTATTTACTCTCTAGAGAATTATAAATTGTTTGGTGTGCAGAAAATTAGAAACAAAAAACACCTTAAGACATATTTAAATCATGGGGGTTTTTTTCAGCAAAATATTTTCTTAGCTGTTGGGATAGATTCGGGTTTGCAAAGGTATATAAACCATTTTCTTGGTGAATTCTGGTGAATTATCTGCATTATAAGCAGCAACTGAGGAACTCCATGGAGTTGATTTTTGCTGTCTTATATAGGTTGCATGATGAGAGAGCCAGTGTGTTTGTATAGGAAGCTTTCTGCCTGTTCTTTTATGTGGGATGATACTGCTGAGCTTGCTAACCAGGCATTGTGAACTGAGGCACCCAGTATTCTTTGCAGTTGACTGCCTTTCTTGAGTGGTGGAGCCACTGGAAAAATTTCTGCTCCAGAGGTGTTGCAGAAGCAGAGCAGCAGTGTCCTGTGCCTTACACTGAAATTGTCATCTTTCTGCTTATGAATCTTATTTTGCATATTGAGTCCTGTTGCATGGTAGCTAAAATGTCTCTTAATTTACAAGTAATATTGAAGACTACACTAAATTTTGAATAGAAACTTCCTTACTGAAGAGATTATTTTACTTAATGGGATTAGGAAATATGCATCATACTGTCCATTCTGAAAATTAAATCAGAACTATTTCCTTTTGTATCTTTCCCATATGTGAGGCTTTTTGTATTATAGTGTCTTTGTTTGTTTCCATGGTGTTTTCACTTTTAATGTTTGGGTTGGTTTTGCTCAGGAAATTCATGTCAGCAATTGAACACAAAGAAAATTCACTCAGCTCGTTTACATGCTCATTTACTCAGCATTATCTACAAAAATATTTATTTAAGAGTTTTCTTCCCTGGTTGTATAAAAATATATCAGCTCTGTACAACCTTGTGTGTTCTGTAAGATTTCATAACAACATGATTCTTAAAGACAGAGTTTCTAGCCTTCCCATCAGTTCAGCATCTTCATGATGGTGTCTAGCCTGAGACAATTACCAGGGACTTGTGTAAATGCTGAGGGTATACTTTCCACTTACATTGCTTGAAGAAGTCTTACTTCACATTTTCCTTCCAGTGGATAAATTAACATTTTGTGTTCCTTGAGTCATGCATCATGACACTGATCTCATAGAGATCTGTACTCTTTTACCAGTACTGTGTATCTTTTGCCTTCCCTAATCTTGCCTCCAATTCTGTCCAGGGAACAGTATGTAGATGTATATGTATAAAAACACATATGTACTCCTTTCAACTTGTTTTTTATAATTAGCAAAATCATAATCTTAATCAATCTCTTGTTACCATCAAACTCTCAGAAAAGGCATTTTGTTTTTTCTAAATACTGGGCCAGTTTCCAGGCTCTTCTATACACCAGTACGAATTAAGAGTAACTCTGTAAGTTAAAGGAGTCATACCAATCAATAAAAATGGAATTGTCCTGTTGCTGTGAAAGAAAGAATTCTGCATGCCAAGTTACACTTCCAGCTTCTGTATTTTCTAAAGCATTAAAGGGTTAATCTTATAAAACAGAATACGTGATAATTCCTGGCCAATCTTTTTCATAAATGGGAGAGTGCCATAGCACAATAGTTATCTTGAAGCTTGCTGTTCAGTAAGGTTTTCTTATGTAGAAAACAACAAGGATCATAAGAGATGGAAAATAAGCAAGCTTTTCTGAAATACATGCTGTCAGATGTTTTCCTGGGAACACATTTTGAGAAGGCAAAACGTCTTGTTGAAAACACCATTTATCAAATCAAGTATCAGCAACCCTCCAGCATGCAGCGCTGCCTCAGAAGTGACTCACTGGAAGATTATAGAATACCTTTATCACGCGCAAGGCTAGTAATGACATAACACCACTAACTTCAGTCAATGATTTAAGCTGGGAAACAGTAGAATCAGAAGAATGAAACAGCATTTAGAGCAGGAAAACACCTATGAGCTCACTTGAGTCCACTTTATTCATGCCACTGATGATTTGTTCTCTGAAGTATGGCTTCTGTTTCCGTCTGTATAATAGATTTGCTCTAGTTTAATTACAGTTTAAAACTAAAAGGCTGAATGCTTGTGGAGGATATGTTCTGCATAGATTGTCTTTCATAGTGTCTTTCCATTTACTTTGTGTTAATTTCCTATGCTACCCTAGCAAGTTAATCTTTTTAAAAATAAACTTAAAATATTTAGCATTGGGCATTTTTAATTGAGTAACAGATGAATTAGCACTAGGTAGTTTCTGTATCTCATAAACTCCTAAAAGTACTTTTCTACTTCATTCTCATTTTACTACCTTTTTATTGCCACTGTGAAGCTGCATTGTTCACAACTTGCTCTTATTTGTTGGTAAACTTGCTATCTTATCTTGAGTGTTCCTTGAATGTGCATTTGATTTGCTACCTTGTGTTATGAAAATGATCTTCTTCAGATTCACTCCTGAGTTGCTGTTTCATCCATTTATTAAACTTAATTATTTTGCCTGTTGCACCTTAAACAGTGTTTCCTGATTATAATAGCTACTACCAACAGGTATTTCAGAATAGTACAGCTTTTCATGAGCATCAGGAGAACACTGCCATGATTTCTGATTCTGAATGAACAGTGGAAGACAGCCTGCTCTTACAGTGCTAAAAATACTTGTATTTAAATATATATATTTTTTTCCTCTCTGATCAGGGAGGTTGGGGGGGTTGTAACTATGGTGAAGGAAGGTAACTTAATCCATACATACTAATGTTTCTTGTAAACCAAACATACTTCTAGAAATACACTGTCAAAAGAGTTCTTCCATTAATGAATATTCATTTATTCATAGTAATTCTGGTTTTGTTTATACATGGCTGGTTTTCGGATCATCCTACTCGAGGAAATAGATTGCATAGCTGAAGGAAACCCATAGCAAAACTTCACTAAACTACTTTTTAAAAATGAAGTAAAACATAGTTTGTGGATTGTTCTGAATCAGTGTAGATAATATCTGTCTGTGATTTCATAAATTTTAAGGGATGTTCTAGCAGCAGCTCAAGTACATAATATGAATAATAATATGATCTATGAGTAGTATGATTTCTAAGGAAGTCATTTGTTACTAAAAAGAATCGTGACTTTTGCATAAGTTATAAACTTTATACATTTCCTGTTTCCTTTTGCTAAGAGAAAATGAAAAATGAAGGGGTAGATCTGTAGCAGAATGCATCATAGTTTAGTGGTTACAGTCAATTATTAACAAACCAAACAAATTCAAGCAATTTTTTTAAAGAATGTACTTATGCTTCTAAATTATCTTCAGCAATTATTTTCTCAAGTTTTACAGATGGTATTAGAAAAATTTTCAGCAGAGAAATTTCTTTCTGGGTGAGAGTATAACTTAAGGCTTGGACATACACCTGGTATTATCTAGTGCTTTATTTTGCAATTTTTCTGTGTAGGTGTATATAATAATGGTAGATGAGTGGATAGCAACGTTGAGACAGTAAACAAGAGACACTTGTAGCGTTTGCTGAGATATTATAAATCTGTAGGCACCGGCAGCAAGAATGACCTGCTAAGTAGGTCATTCAAGCTTGTAATTTGGGAGAAAAAATGGGAAACAGTTATGAAAAGGGATAATTTTCATACTTGTTTAATTAAGTTAAATTGTGACTGTTAGACTCATTTCAAACTTGGTAATAAGTACTAGTCACAACAACAATGTGCTGCTGCTTCAATACTGAAGTTTGCTGATCAGCTTATTTCTTATTTTTTATCTGAACGATGACTCGTTTTTGTATGTTTTCACATCATTGCAGAGAATTACTGATATTTGAAGTTTAATGAGCTGATACTTGAGAAGTAAACTGAAGAAAGCATAATTGCTACTTATAGAAGTAATTATTCTCGTATAAGGAAAGTACATATTGAAGAACAGATGTTCCCCATAAGAAAAAAAAAAAAAAAAAAAAGTTTTATTTTGCTATTAACCTCCTTGGAGATTAGCAGATAAAAAAATCCTTCCAAAGTCCTTTAAATTCCAAGTTAGCATAGGTCATCAATGTAAATTGATTAATGGATAATCATCTCTAAGGATAGCAAAAAAAATCATTTTACTGTCAACTTCACGTCTGATTTTCTTAGAATAT